AACTTTCAGATTTGGCCTCAACAAAAGCTGTGGAAAAGATGCAAGTGATATACCCCCTCAGCTTGCTTTGAAAGAACTTTCTAAGTGCTATTTATTAAATATCTATCTGGTAAGCATTTTTGCAAACTCTAAGGGGACTGTATCGTTTTCCACTGTTAACCATTTTACTTTTTTTTTTTTATACTTTTTCCTCAGCTTCAAATATCATGGTACAAAATGAGTAAGATAAAACATCTAACTTTTTAAAGAAAAGCTCTTTTTTTGTTTATTAAATATATAATAGAAATAAAACAGAATACTGGCATTATAGTATATTCTAAACTAAATAGGCACAAGAGAGCTATCTTGGGAAAGCTCACTTGAAAAACAACAAATATTAGGGAGCTCTGGCGGCCTAGTGGAAAGAAACTGCACTGCAATCCCAGAGTTGTGCAGTTTGAACCCACTAGATGGAGGGACAATCTCCTCCTGAACCAGTCAGAACCTATTTGATGGTACACACACACAAAATAATAATGATAAAAAAAGAAAAACACCAAATATATTTCTTAGTGATATGAAAAATTTTGTCCTTTACATGAATTACTGCATATGATTAAAGACTTCAGATCCAAGAAAAATATAATGAGATGCAATTTTGTTAATAAAATTCAGATAATATGTTAGGTACAAACATACATGCATTACATGTTATTTTGTTATACTGAGATTTAATATTCTTTGTGAGCGCTTCTAACGAAGCAAAGAAAGGGCAGTAATTCCTTTTACCTTGACATGCATTGAGCATCTTAAGTAACACAGCCTTTAAGTGATTGGGCTTAACCTTGACTTGGGCCACGGAGCTGACCTCCATGTTGGGAGTGAGTATATTCTGGGCCACAGCACATACATTTTGGCTGCAGCTGAGGAAGGTGGGATGCTGGCTTGTAATTTTCTGTATCAGCAATTGGTCCTTTCCCCTCCCCAAAGTACCATACCTTTCACCTCAACACTACCAGAAAAAGATGAAATAGTGAAGGCTGGCACAGTCCTAGCCTGAGCTGACTCATGGTATTGTGACGTGGATGGGACTGGTCTCTTAGACACTTTTCATCCTCTTTGCCAAGTTCTTTAGCATGATTTTTGTTAAACTTCAAACACTAAGTCATTATTTTCATAAACAGATACCCTCTGGCCTCGCACCAAAGAACATCCTGGTATGTTCTCCCTTGGACCTTGTATAACGCCATAAACCTGTGGCTATGTATCATGTACCCAGGTTACAAATGAATTTCTTAACAAAAGAATCTCGGCCTGAGTCATCATTTAAGGCTGTAACCAATCTTACAATCTAACATGTATATTACTTTGTTTATGCTACGGCTTCCTTTATTTTACGGGCTGTGCTAATTATCAGTGGCTGTTGGGTTTATTCTAATAAAGAATTCCTAAACTTTAAAAAAAAAAAACCACCACAAAACACCCAATCCCAAAGTGCCAAAGCAATGATGTCAATCTAGGGACTAAAGTGCACCTGATCCTATCTTTGCAAGTACTTGTTATGCATCAGAAAGCTGGACAATGACTAAGGATGACAGAAGAACCCATGCCTTTGAGTTGAGGTGCTGGAGAAGAGTACTGAATGTACTATGGCCCACCAGAAGAACAAATAGGTCTGTCTAGGGTAAAACCAAATTTCTCCTTGGAGGTAAAGATTTGGTTTGGTTGTTGTGGTTTTTTGTTGTTGTTTTTGTTTTTTCTTCTCCACTGGACTTTATTACAGGTTCTTTCCTAGAAAACTCCTCCATAATTTCACAATTTAACAAAAAAGGTTAAAATTCAGGACAAAAAATCCTGTGACTTATTACAAGCACAATTATCTTTATTCTTTTTATCCAGGAGGTGGTCTCAGGCCAAAGGAAGTCCTAGTTCCTGGGGAGACACATTCTTTGTAAAAACCTTATGAGTGAGGAAGGTATTTAAGATGTTTTGCTTTCAGATGTCAGTTTACATTTGTTCAAAGAGAATATTTTATTCTGTAGTGGGGACTGGAGGTTTAACAGGACACATACAGTAATCACAGAGTGCCAGGCCCCTTGCTATAGAGGTTCCCTGGAACCTTCTGGGATCCAACTGCTGGGCAGCTGAGGCGAGTCAGAACCAAATGAGAATGCTGTAGGCGGTGCCTGGCAGATCAGTCATCCATCGGCTGGTCATTGAGCTGCTCCAGAGGACAGTGGAAGGCTTCATGGCTTAGGACGTAACTGAGAAGGGGCCGATGTGCCCCAACCCCTTGGGAGACTGGCAAAAGGCAACACCTGCTGCTGGCCAGCTATGCTCTTTCGGCTCCATAGAACCAGCCGGAGCAGGGTTGTCAGCCGTGGTGTTGGCACCCAGGACACAGGCAGCCCTTTCAGGAGCTTGGTGAAGAACAGACCTTGAGGAAAAGCAAGGATTTGGAAGCTCCATCTCACATACTTTGGGCAGGTGGCCAAGAGGGACCAGTCTGTAGAGAAGGACATCATGCTCAGAAGGGTAGAGGGACAGTGCAGGAGAGGAAGATCTTGGATGAGATGGATTGACACAGTAATGAGGGCAGTGGGGGGTCAGTGTGTCGGAGTCAGACTGGCTGAGGACAAGGTTCAGAGCTGTTATACACAGGATTGCTGTAAGTTGTGGGTGCCTCGATGGCACATAACTACAACAATCTCTAAACTGACATCATTGTTCTTCAGCACTTTGGAGATGTCTCTGACAGCAGACTTTCCCCCCAGCAATACATTTTATGATATGCTGACTGCTGTTACCATGGCAAAAAAAATGTACCAGGGTGTCTTAAGTCACCGTTTAAACCTAGAAAAAAAGTCACAGCCCACTCTCCCTCTACAATGGCTTAATTTTCAACCAAACAATAGGCTCCTACGGGAAACACTGCCACCAGAGGCACTCATGCCTCAGCATAAACAGCCCCATAAAGTCAAAAGACTAACAGTGCCCACATGTAAGGTACAGCATGCAGGAAGGAGAAGGACAGAAGGATTAATAAAACTGGTAACTACAGAGAGGAAATGAACAGTACAGTTACACTGTATTATAATTAATGTCATAAAACAAAATGTTAAAGAGTGGCTAAATAAAAAACCAATTTGTCTTATTAACTTTCTTTCACTCAAATCACAATAAAAAGAATATACCTATTTTCTCCCTCAAATAATAATAAAGTTCTATGTGAGAAAATTTGGGGAAACACATTTCACACTAAAATGTGTGAAATGCAATCCCACTAATTTGTTGGACTAATTATGTTTATCTATTTAATATAAGAGAAGTAATAAAAATTACTCAATCACTTAATAATGACTGAACTGTAACTCATAAAGAAGAATAATCATAAAAGTATATACTGGTTTTTAACATAATGGTAAAAATCTTCTAGAATATAAATAAAAAATATTGGTAGTAAATACTGAGTGGCAGGAATGAAAATTATCTTTACCTTTGATTTTTTTTCTCCTTGTCCTCTAATTTTCTACATGGATCATATATTGTTTTCATAATTCACAGAGTGATGGGGAACAAACAATGCCAAAAATAAAGTTTAAGATGGAATTCTTTAAAGGTACAGCTTGAAAGAAATGAAATCTCAGGTGAGAAGAACTGAGCATGTCCTCTCTCCAAGTGAGCTGATCCAGATCCTACCACACCTCACCTCCAGGAAGAAACAGACCCAATTATCACCCTGTAGTATAGATGCTCTTTAATTTAGTTAAGACTACATTAACACTTTTTCAATGGAAATTTGCTAAGGAATCAAGAATAAATAGTCCGAGAAATAATAGTTTACTCATCATTGTTTCCTTTTCTAAAAGATAACTAAAACAACATTTACTTAAGAGTGCTGCTTTTGCTCATTATCTCACCTCAGCCTCATCTGGGCCTAGTATGCTAGAAACAATCATACTGAGTGGTCAGTGCTTAAGCCTAAAATGAGTCCTACATGGACTACAGCTTCTTCATTATGTTACCAGCTACTATCTTGCCCTTTTTCCAAGGACCATATGCCTCAACACAGCAGATGACTAGGTAATCACTCCAGTAATTTCTTGACATTATGTTAGTTTTTTCAATCTCAAAGGATGTTCCTAGTCCTATGTACAATTTTATAGCAAAGATATTTGCCATATTTAAGCTTAACAAAAATTGATTTTGCACATTCCTGTCCTTACAAATCAATAATATAAAGCAATACATAGAAAGTACCAGCAACAATTGCAAAAAAAAAGCTGGGTTGGGGTTGATTTTTTTTTCTCCCAGTACAGTGACACAAAGAATAAAAAGGAGGACTCCTAACAACAAAATCTTGTTATAGCTTTATATACCTTAAAAATATTACTGTATCTTTTTTTATTTTTTTATTAAATTTTATTAGTTTTAATGAACATTTACAGAGATTTGGGGTTTTCATTCATTCATTGTTGCACTGTTTTCTCCACCCTCATCCCCAGTTTGTTCTTCTTTCGCGCCCCCCCCAATGTCTGTTTTAATTGTCCAATTGCCACAGTGCTTGTCAAAGCCAGTTCTGATTAATCTCCTTTGTCAGTGTGTCCCTTGCCATTCCCTATCACTCCTCCCTGAGAGAGACTTCACCCTGATTCATAAGGAAAAGGGGATGGCGTATTCTCTTAGCTACTTCCTGCTGAAAAGGGACGCTGTAGGTTTCAGGGTGAATGTCTTCTCTCACTACTCCAAAGGGCCCCCTTGGCAGTAGGAAACACATAGACTATTATGGAGATTGATTTTGGAATTTAGATGCACTGTTAAAAAAGATATTATGCTGTCAGGTAGATTGGTGTTATCTGTACACTTTTTAAGTTTTGGAAAATAAAGGAAAACAGCTTCACATACCACAACAATTAACTGATCTTGAGAATGGGCTAACAGATCTCTAAGCTTTTAGTTCATAATCATTTGTTTTAATAAGTTTGTCATGTTCTAAAGCAGACAGTCAAGTTCAAACTTACCTTGCTGGTATCCTTTAATCCTCTGCTTTTCCCCTAGCTCTTTAGAAAATGATGATCCTAAAGCAGTATTTGATATTTCTTTAGACTGTCTGTATTGTTTTAGCTGCTTAACAAAATCTTCCTCTGTTTCTTGACCGTAGTTTCCGAAGTTGTCATCACTGTAATTGCCAAAGTTGTCATCGCTGTAGGTACTGTATTCATCATATTCTTTGTTTTTAAACTTTTTGTTGTGCTGATCTTTTTGTGATGTCATGTAGCTTCCTGATATATGTCCACGCTAGGTGAAAATGGACAATTATTTTTTTTTAGGATTTTTCACTTATATATAGCAGTTGATGGTAAAAATGGCATTTTTCCCACACAAAAAGTTAGGAGAAAGAAGCCTAAAAGATGGTTAATTTTGTCTCATGATTAGAATGTATTATCTATAATACTATTAAAACTAGGTTGAAAAAGCTAAGGGCTGTTGTCATGTTCTTAAGCATTTAAACATACATGCTTTAGATCTCTTTTTCATATCTCATGATAATATCTATATGTTATATATTAGAATACTTAAAATCCACATCATAATAAATACCTGCTGCACAAAGCAGTGCAAAGAAGTCCTTTTTTAAACATGGGAAAATGCAAGTGGACTAGCTTTGGAGGATAGTGGCCTAGAAAATTATTTTCTGTTTTTCTAACTGAAAAATTCAAAGAGGAATGCTATACTTAATAAAAACTATGCATGAAAAATTTTATAGAAGGAGGATGTTTCTATCTGAAGTCTTATAGAAAAAGTAGAGTTTTCCCTAACATGAAAAGCATCTGAATAAATTGCTCACTTGGGGATCTAGAACTATTAGCTGCTACAACTTGAGGATCTACCACTGCTCAGACCAAGATGATTTTCAGTTTAGTGCATTTTAAGTGTGATGTAATAATGTTAGGGGCTCTGGTGGCCTGTGCACTGCAATCATGGAGGCGTGCACTTCAAATCCACCAGCTGCTCTGTGGGAGAAGGATGGGTAATATTCTCCCTAGTGACTGTTGTTTCTGACAACCCACTGGAAGGTCAGGTATGGGTAGTTTATAACTCTATGGCATACAACAATAACATAATAATGGTGTTCTGAATGGGAATCCTCCCTGAGGCTGTGATTAATAAAATTCAGGAAAATACCATAAACTGTCTGGGAGGCAAAGTCTATATAGAGTTGTGCTGCTAATCCAAAGACTCTGGGATTCTATCCACCAACGTATTCCTCCTAAGGAGAAATACCAGCAGTCTCCTCCAGTGTGATTCTTTGCCCTGGAAAACTCAATGGAGAGGCAGTGATTGAAATTAGCCCCAATAGGTGAATGACAGTGACACATTGCTAAGAAAGAAATGGAATGCATAAATATTGACATACTAGGTATTAGTGAAATGAGATGGACTGGCATGGGACATTTTGAATCAGACAATAAATCATATGCTCTACTATGCTGAAAATGAAAACATGAGGAAAAATGGGGTAGCTTTTATAGCTAAAAAAGTTGTTTCTAGATCCGTCTTAAAATACAGTATTGTGAGTGACAGGATAATAGCCATATGCATACAAGGAAGTCCAGTGAATACCACTGTAATTCAGATATAAGCACCAACATCCAAAGCCAAAGAAGAGGAAATAGAAGACTTCTAACAACCTTTGCTGTCAGGGATCGACTGAACATGCAATCAAGATGCATTAATAATAATGGATGAGTAGAATGCAAAAGTTGGGAACAGAGAAGAAAGATTAGTAGTTGGACAACATGGACAAGATGGAATGATAGAATTTTGTACAATCAATGATTTATTCATTGCAAATATGTCTTGTAAGAAATATAAATGCGGGCTATACACATGGTTTTCACCTGATGACATGCACAGGAATTGGACTGATTATATCTGTGGAAAGAACAGCTGGAGAAGTTCACTATCAACTGTGAAAACCACGCCACCTGCTGATTGTGGAATAGACCACCAACTACTCATATGCTAGTTCAAGCTGAAGCTAAGCAAAATTAAATCCATGGGGACCAAAATATAACCTTGAGTCTATCCCACCTGAATTTCAAAACAATCTTAGGAACAGTTCTGAGGCTTTGAACACTAATGAGCAAAGATCAGATGAGCTGTAGGAGGATATCAAGACTATCATCCAGGAAAAATGCAGAGGGTCATTACAAAGAGGAGAAAGAAAAGAACAAGATGGATGTCAGAAGTGACTCTGAATATTGCACTAGAACACAGAGAAGCCAAAGCAAAGCAAAGAAATCGAGATAGTAAAGAACTGAACAGAAGGTTTCAAAGGGCAGCAGAAGAAGACTACTTTGCAGTAAATGTGCAAAGAGCTGGAGTCGGAAAACCAAAGGAGCTGAACTCACTCAGCATTTCTTAAGCTCAAGGAACTGAAAAAGAACAAATTCAAGCCTCAAGTTGCAATACTTAAGGATGCTTTGGGCAGAATATTAAAGATCCAAGAAGCATTGAAAGAAGATGAAAGTGTATAGAGTCATTGTACCAAAAGGAATTGGTGGACACAGAAGTATTTCATAAAACAACATTTGAGCAAGAGCCTGTGGTGATGAAGGAAGTTCAAGATGCTCTGAAAGAATTGGCAAAAAAACAAAGCCAAGTGACATACTTCAACAAACAGATGCTGCCCTGGATGTGCTCACCAAGTTGTGCCAACAAATCTGGAGTACAACTACCTGGCCAACTGACTGAAGAGATTTTTATTTGTTCCCATTAAAGAAAGGTGATCTGTCAGAGTATGGAAAGTATCGAACAATATCATTAGTATCACATGCAAGCAAGATTCTGCTAAAATTATCAAAAAACTACCCGAACAGCACATCAACAGAGAACTGTCAGAAGTGCAGAATGGGTTTAGAAGAGGTTGTGGTACAAGGCATATGACAGCTAAATTTAAATGGATCTTGGCTGAAAGCAGGGAGTACCAGAGGAATGTCTATGTATGTTTCATTGACTATGCAAAGGAATCTGACTGTGTGCACCACAATAAACTGTGGCTAATTCTGAGAAGAATGAGAATCCCAGAACACTTGATCATGCTAATGCAAAACCTATACTTGGACCAGGAGGCAGATGTCAGAACAGAGTAGGGAAACACTGCATGGTTCAAAACTGGGAAGGGGGTATGTCAGAGATGTGTTCTCCCTCCATACCTTTTCAATCTATATCCAGAATAGATTATCCAGGAGGCTGGGCTCTAAGAGGAGAAATGTGGCATCAAGACTGGAGGAAGACTCATCAACAACCTTTATTATGCAGATAACACAACCCTGTTTGCTGAAAGTGAGGAGGACCTGAAGCGCTTGCTGCAGAAGGTTAAGGACTGCAGCCTTCAATACAGACTGAAACTCAACATCAAGAAAACAAAGATTCTCACCACTGCACTCATTGGTAGCATCATGATAGATGAGGAAAAGATTGAGATTGTTAATAGCTTTAGATTGGTTGGCTCCACAATCAAACTGTTGGTAAAAGCAGTCAGGAAATTAAAAGACAAACTGCACTATGAAAGGGTGCTGTCAGAGACCTCTCTGAAGTACTGAAGAGCAAAAATGACAGTCTGGAAACTAAGGTGCACCTGATACAGGCCATAGTCTTTGCAATTATTTGTTATGCATGTGAGAGCTGGACAATGACTAAGGAAACCAGGAGAATTGATGCTTTTGAACTGTGGTGCTGGACAAAAGTATTGAATACACCATGGGCTGCTAAGAGAACAAACACATTTGTCTGAGACAGGGTGAAACCAGGCTGCTTCTTGGAGGCAAGGATTCTGAAGCTTCGTCTGATATACTTTGGACATGTTGCAAGGTGGGACCAGACCTTGGAGAGAGACATCATGTTTGGGAGGGTGAAGGGACAGTGCAAGAGAAGAAGACCCTGAATGAGATGGAATGATTCAGTGACTACGGTAATGTGGGTAGGTGTGTCAGAGACAGTAAGATTGGCACAGGATAGAGCAGGGTTTAGGGCTGTTGTATATAGGGTCGCTATGAGTCGCAGGCGACTCAACAGCACGTAACAATAACAATAATATTTAATATAAAATGGAGGGGAAATACATAAAGTGACCAAGGAAATCAATTAGCCCATCAATTCCAAAAGCACTGTCTCTTTACGAACTTCCTTTTCAGCAGTACTTCTTAAAGTTTATATACACTTTGGAGAAACTTATCTGTGAAGCCAAAAGACAGTATTTCTGATATTTCATTAAAGTCACTATAAAAACACAACTTGAACAGCTTTTATTTCCATTAATAAAGTATTATTACTGCTTCGTGCATATTTTAATGTCTCAGGATTAAAATTTATTCTGTTAATGGATAAATCCAAATTTTTCTCTTGTGATTATGTTTTCATCTTTGAAATTTTTTATAGCCGTTATATTCCTTCACAGAATAAACACCTATAATCCTATCTTTAAAATACTTTTACTTTGTACATTTTTCTAAAATACAAAAACTTTCTCCTAGATCTACTTGGACTATAAAGATTCAACTCTTTGTCATCTTACAAATACATGATACGGTAATTTTATATAATGCAAGAAAAGGGTGATTTGTTTAAAAGAAGAAAAAAATGGCTTAATTTCTGTGGCAATGCTCTTTGAGAATTTCTTTTTACACGTGTAAGCCAACTAAGAAACCATGATGGTTTGCTTTCTTTAAATAATGCTTACAATTTATTTTAGCCACTGAGCCTTTTTTTATTTGTGTATTTGTAAATCTTCTTATTCTTAAACTTACTTAATAAGTACACTGTTTATCTGCTTAATAATTATACTGCTTACATGATTCAGAAAAGGCAAATCATTAAGCTGACTTGCTTCCAAAGTTCCAAATATACTAACTCTAAAGGGGAAAGATGGCCAATCCCCTCTTGAGCCATTTATAGCTTCTCAAAACCTTCTGGAAGGTCAACTCTGAACAACTCAACGGCAAACAACAATAACCAAAGTTTATCCAAATGGAAAAATATGTTTAACAGCCTCCTAACATAAGCAAGTATTTCATCCCAGCGCTCCTCAGGGAAAAATTTTGGAAGTGATATATGGGACACTTTGGCATAAGCACCACCTGTCGTGTCACAGCTGAGCTCTTTGTGCCAAAAGGGCTGTTGTCCAGTCTCCAGGAAGCACTAAGTGGATGAAGATCTACACCTTCTATGCTATGAATGGTTATCACTGAAGTCAACAAATCACTAACAAGTATTCTTTCTTCAAGGCCTACTGA